TTAGACCCCATTCCCATAGATTTTAGATCGATCTATCCCTGTTGGGAGTCTCACCGGATTACTGTCAGCTCAGCCGGCTTAAGCGTCTGTCCCGCCTACTAAAAGCTGAAAGGGGGTAATTAACTGTCGTGCGCACTCGGCTGACTGCAATTTAGCGTGAACCCCCAGGGAGTTAGGTCGATCCAAATCTAAATCTCTGGATCGATCTAAATCTCTGGGAATGCACCCTTAGACTGGGTTCCCATATATAGATCGATCCATCTGGATCGTTTTAACTCCCTGTGGAGTCTCTCTTAATTGCTTTCAACTAGACCGGCTTAAATGTCCGTCACGCCTACCGAATCAGCTAGGGGGGTAAAGATAATTACCCCCTAACAACTTTACTGGGCGTGACAGACATTTAAACCGGTTAAGTTGATAGCCATTTAGTGAGACTCCCAGGGAGAAAGATCGATCCAAATATCAGTGGGAACGGTCCCTTAATCAGATTGCATTCAGCGAAATGCGCTGTTGAGTTAGTTCGAACTACCTTGCACGATAGTTTCAGGGTGAACGCACCCTTAAGGGTCCCCCCCCCCAATGAAACTATCGGTCTATGTAAATCGATCCAACTTCTCGGAATTTCTCGTTGAATACAGTCAGTTCATTAACATGTCTCCTTCTGGCGCTGAGTAGAATACAGAAAAACTGGTGAATATCGTATACATTTGAAACAAGAGGAGAGATGCCAATCTGTTGAACTGATTGAATTCAGCGAGAGTCCCCTCAGAGTTGGATCGAACTACGGAGAGTGATAGTTACGATAGGCACGTGCCCTTACATTGCATATTGGCGGACAGGTGAGAGAATTGTAAGGTGGGTTTGTAGGTAACAGTAGGTGCAAGTAGGTTGTTAGTTTGGCTACAGTAATAATTAGTCGGTCAGCTGGTTATCTTTATTTTTGAAGAATTATCAGCAAAACAATGCACTGCTTATCATAATGTGAACTTACCTGTATCATATTATGGCATACTGGCTGTAATATACTGGTTGTTCGGCATATCCCAGGAAGAAGATTTCTACCAGTTCTGCCTTGGAATGCGCGCTGCTTTGGGCAAAACTGAACATGGATCTGACTTCGAGCGAAACAGCACAGCTGTTGACATAAAAAAGAACCATTAACGTCGTGTTATAAGTATAATAGAACAAAAGTGAATGCAGTCTGCATGGATCTGCCGTTATGGTATTACATTATGACGATCAACTGGGCGATTTAAGAAGAGAGAAGTTGCACTTGATCAATATATATATGTTAATGCAGTGCGTATTTCCAGCTTACTGTAGCGTGCTTTCTGTCAGGATCATTTAATGCCTACATACGTTTTTACTGGATAATTTCACGGGGATTTCTTGGATAATTCAGTGCACATGGCGCAGCGTCGTGCCTTACGTATTCTAGGTTATAATAGCAACATGTGCAATATCTCGATATTTGGACAGACAAACCAATATATAATGTTATACGTATATATTATGGTATATATGGCCACAAAAATGTGTCTGTTTCACTGGTATATGTGTAAACCTATAGGCAGTTGATCTGGGGGGAGGGGGGGGGGTTCTGCGCATGTGCCAGGAAAATTAAAGTTATGCTATTCAGGATTTTTATGCCAAATGGCAAAAAATTGATAAAAATAATAAATAATAATAACATCAAAAAATTAGATTGCCCTTTGTTCCTGTATTAGTAGCTTTGGGAATATAAAGACATAAAATATATGACATTGGGCCATTTTCAAACGCGAATACTATACCTTTAAACTGACAATGCACCGGAAATGTGTAAATTAAAGACTATTTTTATACACAGACACGAAATAAATTTTGTTAAATGCAAGGAAGCAGATGACAAGTATATATAGAGAAAGCTTTTCCATGTCTGTGTTGCATCTAATAGTCATGCCAGCCTCTGTTTGTCCCATTCGTCAATATATATATTCTTGAATTCGTAATCCGTGCCAGATGTTACATTTATAATGGAATTTTTCTGAATAATTGACAAGTTTGGATGAGAAAATAACACAATCATATTTAAACCGTGCATCTGTCTTCAATATATACAGATACAAAAACAGTTTCAATAGTTTTGTGCATATATATATATATATTCCCCGCTCTAGGTTATACTGCCCTAAATACGTATTGGCTTGGTGGGGAAAAGAGATGCCATTTTTAAAACATACAAATTAAGAAAATCGTCTTTTTTCAGAGCCGAGCACTTGAGGGGCATCGACTTCAGGAATGATGAAACCTCGCACTGCGCTCATTGTTGCACTGGCTGCTGCAGCGCTGATTGGCTCAGCATGGTTCTTAAACAGAGACCGAGTGAAGGAGGAGGAACCAAAGAAGGCGGAGTCAGATGTAATTATGTTATTAAAGAGTGCATTCAGAACAGATTATCCGCGGACTAACTGATCTGACGCTAAATATGGCCGAACCCACAAAAAAGCAAGCTGCCCTTATCAGTCGATGGTTTCCCCGCCTCCACACGCACTATGAAACGGATTAACTCTTGGCTCCGAGATTAAATTGCTAGGCCCATGTTGCGACGGCGCGTGTGGAGGCGAGGAGACCACCAGGGGTTAGCGGCATTGCTTTTAAGTGGATGGGTAGTATTTATTACGCGGATCTCTTAGTCCGCGGATCAACTAGTTCTGAATGTTCCCGAAGGGATAACAACTCCTCTTTTTACCTTAAAAAGTGCTGTAAAACAGATTTTCCTGGGGTAGACGATGATTTTCCCATACTTACCGACGATTAATGAATCCGTTTCGAAATTCAAAGTTAGTCGATTGTTTTTAAGTACATCAACAGAAACATTTTTAGAGAAATTAAGGGAGCGAGTTGTGTTAGGTGGATGGTGGTTTTTGATCCGCCAAAGCCACTTTATCTTTTACGACATTCTCATGCTTCTTCTATATGACACATTTTGTTCTTTGAAACTTTAGGCAAAATAAAAAAAAAAAGCTTTTTCAAACATTTTTTTCAAACACTTTTTTTACAGCCGAAACTCGTACGTGACGCAAAAGACGAAGACGCGTTTGCCAATGCTGGGCTTTTTAAAAGACTTGGGACAGGTAACATGGACCCAGTAGAACCCGAATTACTGGCTCACCTCCGAAAGAGATGGATCTTCGCACCTTCCGATCTTCCTTATAACTTAGTCAGACCCAGCGTGAAGTCGTGGGCTCAGATTGGCCAGTCACAATTGGTGGACAAAATTCTGAAAGAACGCCGAAACGGTTTCTATGTAGAATCGGGCGCCTTTGACGGAGAGGACCATTCCAACTCTCTCTTCTTCGAGAAATCACGAGACTGGAAGGGTCTTCTGATAGAGCCGGATCCTTGGACCTTTGAAGCACTTATTCAGAAAAACAGGTAATTCTGATTTTATCCTCCATTGTATTTTTATACCTTTACAGTCGTCAGTAGCCTACGATTGAAAGAAGTTCATCATTTACCAAATCCAAGGGTGATTTAGTAGAACAGGTATAAACATGAACATATGATCATTCTCTTTTGACCCACTTAGGTCAGGCTAAACGTAACCATTATAACTGAATGAAGGACATTGCCGGAATTTTTTGGAAACATATTTTCCCCTTATAAAGGTCTCACGCGCACTGTGTACTAGGCAAAGCTTCTTAAGATTGAAATATATAACAATTCTAGTATCAGAAATTGTGTACTTGGAAATTGAAATTCTTCTCTCTCTCGTTTACAGGAAAGCGTACGTTGTCAACACCTGCATTGCAATAGGAAAAAGTCCCGAAAGAACCGAATTTACCTTCGCTAGCGAACTCGGCGGAATCGCCAAAAAATCCGCGGCCGTGCCGAAAGCCGAAGCAGGGTCCGTCCGAGGCACAGGTCGCATACAGTGCTTCCCCATTCTCTCTCTCTTAGCCGCCGTCGGCCAAACCCACGTAGACTATTTCTCCTTAGACGTGGAAGGCGCCGAGATAGAAATCCTCAAGTCCTTCCCCTGGACTCAGGTCACGGTGGACGTGTGGACGATAGAGTACGCGGTTCACGGTGGGGGTGCTGGGACCGCGGAACGCGAGAAGGAAATCAGGGAAATTTTTAAGAAAACGGACTTGTACAAGGAAGGGACCATTCTAGGCGGACAGGATATTGTGTTTGTGAGAAAAGACGTGCCTCAGTAGCACGGATGATATTGATTGAGGGGGAGGGGGGGGGGGGGCAGGATGTGGCTAGACCCGTAGGCTACAGACCGTGTCTTTCAAAATGGCTGCCAACAACACATGGAATATGTGTGGCTTGATGTTTGACTGGACTTAATAAGGAAATGCGGAAATATGAAAGTTTAAGTCCGCTCTAGACAGTACTATTTGATTTTCAATGCCTCTCCGGAGATTCGGTTTGTGAACACATTGGAAACAACCTGTTTGCTGTGCCTATTCCCCAGAACTTTCGATAAATTTATCCCAAAACAAAAATGGACTGATTCAGACGAAAACAGACTCAAAATAGACAGAACTCGGGTAGCCAGCGGAGAGGTCAAAGTAGGGCTACCAGTGGTCAAGGAGGTCAAGCTGACTTCAAGCCACGTGGGTCAGAGGGACTCTTGGTCAGGAAGGTCAAATCGATAGATTGGCCGATCAAATCGAATATCGATTGGCCTCGTTGTCAGACGGAAAATGAACCGGGGATAGGAGTAGTTACAGTGCCTTGTAATCGGCTTTTTTTAAAATAAAGACGAAGACGAGGCAAATCAGAGGAGGGGTTTTGCCTGAATTCCAAAATGACGTAACAACCTTCGGGTGATTTCGCACGCGATAAATCAGATTCCGGGAGCAGCCGAGGATTGCTTGGAGCACTGTTTATACAAAAGTGATTCTTAATTCTGTCTTTCAGGGATGTGTAAAACTATATTGCCTAGGGACATACTTAAGATAAATATCATTTATTCGTTGTTTAACGCGTGCGTGTGTGCGTTTATGTATATGTAGGCCTATGTGTGTTTTTACAGAAACTGAAAAGAGGGACACTTCTATTTTTCTATGGTTTAAGTGTAAATGGTTGACAAAATGGAATTGAAGCTAATGTCAACGAATGCTTTATTCATTCTAACATGGTTCCTGCCTGGCTGTTTTAGTTGATGCGCTTGTTTTCAAATTACTGATTTTTTCATGACAGTGTTTTTGTTTTAAGTGTTTTGTTTAGTAAGATGTTAGTAAGATGCATGCAAGCGCTATATAGTGGCTAGTGAAACCCTTTTTAAAGAAAGACAAATATGCTAGTAAAAGTCGTAGTAAAATAGCATTCCATTTTAATATGCAAACTTGGGTTATAACGTAGCGTTAGGTCAAATATAAATAAGACATTGCAGCAGTTAACTCAGAAAACACTCTGTGACTTGATTAAAACTTGTGTGATGCTGCATTCCAGACATTGCAAATAACATAAATTAGACCATTAGGAATTTGATTAAATCTCTCCATTTTGAAACTCGTGCAGCGATTTGTACAGTTTCAGCATTGCTAGCCTCAAAAAGGTTGTGCATTGGCATTGCGAATACTTGTCATTCAAATGTTTATTTACTGATTGTCATTTATGAAGATGACTGAAATATCAGTCATTTATATTTCAAAGCACACAGTTTTGTTGGCAGTAGGATTATAAATGTCTTTTTAAGAATGGAGAGTTGTGCCCATTTCCCTTTTTATTAATTGCTCAAGTTAATCCAGAAAAAAGACAATAAACAAAAGAAAAAGAAAAAAAGAAATTTGCAAGTTTGCTTTGCTTGTTGTATCTTCTACAGTATTCTCTTCACCTAATACCTTCGAACACGTGACAGCGACCCTATTGATTCTAGACTTTATTTACCATGAACACTAAATCACCATGAGGGACATTTTTTGTTTGAAAAATAGCGACTACAGCAAACCCTGAAGCCAATTATACCCCTATCTTTACAATTAACTCGTTCTATTTCAAGATAACTGTCATAAACTGGCATAATAACGGTGTTCTTTATACTAAATTACACTTATAAATACCTCAGTATGAAGGACCCATTGGATATTTTCGTTACCTGTTAAAGCACTTATTTTATTTTCCATGCACTTATTCTTCCCCAAGATGCCTGAAACATTCCTATTATTTAGCCTGATTTGTTAAGATCCCCATCTCCGTGAATGTGTCTCTTTGTTCTTCATCATTCGTGAAATAAAGTCATTATTTAAATGAAACTGGCGATAAAATCGCACTGAACTGAGGAAGATTTTTTTTCACATTTGTGTGTTTTGAACTGCAATTAATTATCCTTTTTGTGTAAATAAAGATATTATTTCTCCTGTGTGTAATAGTCAAGAGAGGCTCTGATAACAAGTGGAGTCCAATTGCAGTGTCAACGGAGACAGGCGATGGGAGGTGCGAGGGGGACAATTGTCATCCGCAATTTTGTGAATATATAAAAGGATTCCAACTCCACCTCAAAATAATATCAAATAACCTTCTTTATTAAAATATAAGGCCTTATATTTCATTGACCCCCAGCTCTACTCTACTACTATGCACAAACATGTATCAAATCAATATTGTAGCAAACAGTTTTGTTATCTCCACTGTGATTTGTGAATAGATGATTTTATTGCCAGTTAAGTGTGATCACTACTTCCTTTTCCATCTTCAATAGTTGCAGGCGGTGGAAGGTGATTGCATCAGAGAAGACAGCTGATTGCGGCGAGCACCGAGCTTCTCAGCTACCGCAATACACAATTGTTTCCTCTACATTGCATTTACCAATGCAGTGGCATGGCCATTTGACAAAACGGTCAAGTTCGAGTCGCGTCATATAACTCCTGGATAACTTTAGTTTTTTTTTTTATTACAGGGTACTGAAGTATAAAATAGCAATAAATAAGAGGGGATAGGCGCAGGGGCAGCGGTCAGGCGTTAAGTATTTTTGAACAAAGTCACCGCCTAGGCCAACGTATGCAGTCTCCTTGTTCGAGTCATGATCTCAATCGCAAAATAGAAATATTTAAATACTGCGGCGCTGGTCAAACGGTTGTCTTTCTTAGCCCAACTTCAAACTTTTGGCGTCCAGTCGGTTTTCATTTTTCAACGGTTTGCCTCAACTTTGTCCATTTCTAATGAATCACCTGTAATTTTTATCTTTTGAAGGACGGTTTTCTTTAGAGTGGGTTCGTTTGTTTGTGAACGAGACATCACAAAAAGTACTTCAGAGCTTTCGACTTAACAGATTTTTAGGTCACGCGGTTGTTGAATCAAATGTGGATTTCTAAACGTTGCGGGACGGGGAGGGCTCTACCTTATCCCGACTATTCTCTGGATTTTCTTTCAATCTGAGACAGTTGGCGTGTCAATAACAAATCCCTTATCCATCAAAATAATCTAAATATGTTCCTATCAAACTCGTCTACTTATTTAACATTAATCATAACATAAAAATCAAGTTCTCTTCGAGGGACATTTATTCCTTTTGTACACATTGTTTTCGGGTATGTTTTTCTTCATTTTTTAAATTATAAAATGTACACAAGAGTTTTTTTGTTTGAGGAATTTGAGATGTCTATTTCTTGGTTGCCTCCTCTTCCTTGGCGTACGACTTCATGATCTCGGCGTGCTTCTGGGCGATCCTCTCCTCGCGGCGTTTGCGGGCGTCCTTGACGCGGGTTCTTCTGGCCTCGGCTTGGTCGCTGTGAAAAAAAAAAATTAAAGAATATTTTGAGTTTCAACAAATGATCATGCTAGATAAATATGTTGCTTCTTGTATAATAATAATAATAATAATATTAAATCATAATAAGTAGTTATTTTTGACTTGGTTGCTGTGAAATATAGATATTTTTTCTACAGTACCATCGGAAATACTAGATAAATACATAGCTTACTAATATCATACAAGTGGTATACATTTCAGTTACACAAACTGCAAAACCTGACCACACAAATGAACATTTGATGAATTGATGAAATGAACAATATTCAAGCAGGTAAATTGCAATCAGCCACCTGTAGATGTGGCTTTAATCCAGGATCATATTTGGATTCAGATCAGACTTTTTACTTGCCAAAATGACCACCCTACAAGTCTTTTTTTTTACTTTCCTTTCTTCGGTTTTATTGGGTGGGAGTGGTGGGAGTGGGTGTGTGTGTGAAATGTGTGGGTGTGTGCATCAGGGATGTACTTACTTGAGCATCTTCACTCTCGACTTCCTCTCCTTCTCCTTGTGGATGTGTTCCATCAACACACGCTTGTTCTTGAACACATTACCTTTGCACTTCAGGTACAGTTCATGATACCTGGAATAAAACAAGCTCTAATTTATTCTTTTCCATGCAACTGTACAGCTGTCTTTCGGACCCACAGTTTCAATTTAGAATGCCCCTTTTTTTTAGACTGTTGTTATTGAACACATGTATACTAGATGTTTCATCTTGACAAAAACATGAGTTTTGGATCCCCATTTCAAACCCTGGTTAAACCCCCCGTTGATGCCTTCTTTTCCTATTTGTTTAAAAACATTTCAATTATATTTACATGTTCTATCTTATAGGGACAGAAACTGTAAAGTGCTAGGTTGCTGTGAAAAATAATCAATCAGTCAAGATGATAATTTCATCAGCTAACAGAAAATTATAGTCTTTAATATACTTTTTGAGCTTTAATTTTTCCTTTTTATCATGACAAACATTTTATGATAGTGAAATTAAACGGAGTTCATCTATGTCACGAGAGACTTAAAAATTAACCATTAACAATTTCACTTACAAGTGCTTGTCGATCTTCTTGGCATCTCTGTATCTCTTCAGCAACCTCCTCAACACGCGCATGCGGCGCATCCACAGCACCTTGACAGGCATACGTGCGTTAGCCGTACCCTTCCTCTTTCCTGTGCCGGTGTGACGACCCTTCCTGCGAGCAATGGTGTTCTTGCGCACACGTGCGCGGGAGTGCACAGCGACGGGCTTACGGATGATTAGACCATCCTTAATGAGTTTGCGCACATTTTGTCCTATAATCAATAAACATAAATATTTAAAATCTAAATTTAGTACAAATTTCCAGACAAGTGTAACAGAAACATAAGCATGAAAAGTATGGCATTTGTCACTTTAAAGAAACTATTCATTTCTTTACCCTTAAATTTATGAGTTAGACATGAAAAGGCCTTAAAGAAGAGTATCTGTCAGTGCGAAGTCTCTATTTGGATACCGAGGCCATACCCTTTCCCAATTATTACACTTTTGATATGCATCACTTGCATTCACATCCTCAGACTTGCTGTCCTGTGCAGTTATGGAATACTTACGTGAGTTGGCATTTGCTATTTCATTAGATTCATTGGGATCTAACCATACTTTGTTTTTGCCGCATTTTAAGACGGCAGCGGCCAGACGCTTCTGTAGGCGTAGCGTACTAAAATAGAAAGAAAAATATACTGAAAAATAGTAAGCATCAATGCTTTAAGTCTAGTTTTACAAGTTTTTTTATGAGTATGTGGCTGTGTGAATCCTTGTTTGAGTCATGCTCCATACAGTAAGTTGTGTAACTACTTTTGAGCACATTCTGAAATACATTTTCTGTAAGCCATTCACTGAATGATTTTAACCAAATTAAATAAATGATTGCATATTATCATCTTAGCCAGATCGAATCCATTTTTGAAGCTCTTGCCTACATACTTTACGCCCGGCTGTCAAGCTACTCTAGATTAAATAAGACGCTTTAACTTCTAAACATCCATAACTGTTGTATTATTCACCGACATGAGAGAACTTGCCTAAGCATCAATAAAGTAATTTCTCCTCCAGCCATAAATAGTTCATTCAGTAATTGGTATATTTAAAAGAGCGTCAACAGTTTAACAATCGTTTGTATCGTTGGTATATCTTAGAATGGAGAAGAGATCACTTTTATCAACTATTTCTCGACATAAATGCAAGACCAAACATGCTTGTTGCACCACACATGGAAATGCTCGGTCGCAACCCTAGTCCTGATTTTCAAGAATAGCAAGTTTATTAACAAAAATATGGAGCTTATTAGCACAACTATAACTTAAGTAGCGTATGTTTGTTTCGACGGTTGCTTTTGGATTATTGATAGAGAAGAAATTAACTTTCAAGCATGCCCATTCTTTACCTCATGGCTGCCACAGATTCACAACATGGACGAAAGGAAGGATTTAGAGGGCACCTGCACTGACATGCGCGAGAGAATATAGTGCCTAATTTTTTTTCAAATTGTTTGTTCTACGGGCAAAATAATGCCAAGTTGCTTTGATAAAGATTGAAAATACAGAACACATATGCAAATTTGTCACTTTGTTCATGGCATGTTGGCACCAAAGTATATTCGCTTTAATACAGAAGCAGTGATTAGGCCATTACCTGCCAATTTACGCTAGAGGGATAGCACCATTGCTTCTCTCGATAAGTCTCGTGACCTCTCGCGCCCTCGACCTATTTCTGACAGACGACAACTTTTTTTGCAAGGGCTCCTAAGATTTTTGCCAAGTACCTTGAAAACATGTCTGACGCGGAACTTCCCGATAGCAAGAGAAGGAGGGAAGCCTTCCACGATGAGAGGACGATGAGCGTCTCGGCCATGGTGATTCCTGGGCGTGAAGGGAGGCACATTGCCAAGGGATGCTATGCCGGTCGGAGCGTTGCAGTTTTTACTAGTGGTGGAGATGCACAAGGTGAGGCGAAGGTCAAGTGGGTCCAGCCTCAAAATCACGGAAATGATCGTACTTTGAATGGAAATCAGTAGTTTTTCGACTTCGAATGAACATTTACGAGATGAAAATTTTTTATGCACATTAAACTGGATTAGTTGGATTGATGTTTTTATTTTATTAATATTTCTGCCATTTCTGGGTCTTTTTACCAGCATCTGCCCCCCCCCCCCCCCCCC